TTTATTTTTTCCTGCGCCAGCCACGGCCGCTGACATTTCCACGTCCGCTCCGGTGATAAATCGCCCGGCCGCTGTTGTAAATCATCGACTTTTTCTTATTCCATACGGCTTTAATTGGACCGATTCTTCGGTCGTTACACCGGCCATTTATCACCAGATACCGGCACACTGTACTTCTATATACGCGACCGCGATCGCCTACGCTACCCCACATCCTAACGGTCCGTTGTCGTCCGGCCCGGATCCAAGCAACAGCCGGCCGGGAAACTTCAACGCTCGTTAACCAAAAGTCCTATGCGTTTGGCGACTCGTGGTAAGTATAGTCGATTCGGTCGGTGCCCGGGTGTCATGGCGACGGCCGTGTAGGGCGGCGACCGGGCGTTTGAGATACCGCAGCATCGCGCGGCGCACCGCGTTTTGGGGCCGTCCCTCTGGCCTTCACGAAGAAGACATTACGGCGCGTAATCATGGGTCGTAAATAAAAAAACAAGTAGAATAACCAAGTCGTGATGTAAAAAAAAAAAACGGTGTAGAGCACATCGTCGGGCCCGGGGGAAAAGAAGATATCACGGCGGCGCGGTAATTGCACGGCGATCGTCGTTGCACCGAAAAGCGTCGGAGAGAGGCAGGTATAAAAATATCACGTCCAGCCGCCGCCGCCGCCTTCGATCCTGTTGCCGATTGGTTCGTCTGTGTTGATAATTTCATTTTCTCCGCACTTGATATACACGTATAATATAGACGGCTCGACGGTCGGTATAATAATATTATATGTCCTGCGCCGCGTATACAATGTCCGTAAAGGTAGTTGGATAGATAGAGGTATAATAACACGGCCGAGCGAGAGAGACGTGACGTCACACCAACAACAACGTCTCGCTCTAACGCCGTACCTACCTACTCTTGGGTGGTCCTCGGCCGTTCGCGCAGAGTTCTCGCTGCCTCAGTCGACGATACGGTTTCGTGCTGCTGCGATGTGCGTGCATTGTGCTTATACTCGCCAAACAACGGTTTCTTTAGCTGTCGCCGCCGCGTTACCGACGTCTAGAAAAGCGCAACTTAAGTCGTCGCCGATCGTCCGGGCCGCCGCCGATCCGAGGTCCATGCCCGCCGTTCGATTCGCCAAAGCTCCACCGTCGTCTACCGGCCTCAGCACCGCCTGTAACGACCATGCATGAGGTAAGCGCCTAGCCAATACTGCCTCCTGATGATAGGACATTGGAATCAGCAATCGACGTTGCCATGGGATCTTCATTGACTTTGTTCGGCATTCGCATACTTAAGGTGTGAGAATTTTTTTTTAAAAACTGTGCTTTTCTTGTCTCCGTCCGAGTAGCAAAAACACTTGGAAAGCACGCAGGCCTAGATACTGACTTGACCGTGTCAAAACTCGTCCAAAGACTCTCCAAATCGGGTGTTCTGTTAGTCTTCGACGATACCAGAATATACGCACAAGTACTAGAATTAAAAAATTCGTTTATTTTAATTTTATACACTATCACGAAGTTGTGATAAACGTGTACCTATATAGCTTTTAACCTAACCCAACCGTTCAAATAAACTATAGTCATCTGTCAAAACTTGTTGATTTTGTCGACATACTGGTACAAAGTCACTAATTAATGTTTGTGTCTATCCGAATTGGTTTCAAAATATATATACACACTCACGACGTGAATTGTGATTGATAGTAATGATAAGTGATGTCTTAGTAAGAAGTCAATCGATTCAAACAGTGTTTAGTGAAAAATTAAAATTACCGTTTTCGAAATGTCAAACAGTTTATGGTCAATGCATTGATTCTGTGACTAGTGTTTAGATGTACTTATTCAGGTTAGGTTAGGCTGTGGTCTAGATATATATATATATGTATTTACTATATTTTTTTAAGAAAAAACCATTCGCCGGAGACTAAATCGAAATGACACAATAGTTAAGGGCAAAATGTCTCGAAATAGGATACACCGGCGGCTGGACGTTGTCCAATCCGCGGCGTTCCGCTGTCAAAACTAATTGCGTCAAAAATAAGTGTTTTCATTAATTTTTACGTCGTCGGGTGCCCAAGTCAAAATAGGATGCAAACAAATTATTTATATATACATATAAATATATTTAAAAAAAAAATTCGAAATGTCGTTCTGCTCGTTCGTTTCATCGGTCGGTCGAAACTTGGCAACGAGAAACACAGTCGTTCGACAAACACCGTCATCTCGTCATAAATACAATACGAATTCACGTCCTCTCGACGAAGATATAATTATATAATATATATGACACGGGATACCTACGCTGCCGACATTGTGTGAAAAGGAACACATCGACAATATAAAATATTGCGTATTGAACGGTGCACCTGATACATGTTGCTTTTTTCGGAGTAATTCGTACAGGGTGTATATTTTCCCCAACATTGTACCCCGGGGTTTCGGGACGGCGTGAGTGTGTATTTTATGTGCGCGCCCCGAGAACAAGACGTCGTATCTCAATACACACACACACACACACACACACCGTACCAGCAGGGTGGAAGAGGGGAACAAAAAAAAATAATAATATATATATATATATTAACAGAAAAGGATAGCGACAATTCAAAATTCAACGTGTCCTGCTGTTCGGTTCTGAGAAATTCACGGTCAGTCGCATTCCACCGCCGCAGTTTTATCACACCGAAATGATGGTTATCTGTAAAAAAAAAATCGAACATATGCGCCCCGACCTTGCGTTTAACTAAATTTGTATTTTATTTATTTTTTTTTTTTTGGCCATGATCCTTTCTGCAATAACACGCCGTTGATGAACGCGTCCTGGAATTAATACTCGACACCGAATTTATGGTCAAGCGCAGAACGGATAAAATATGTTAACGGCGACAGGAGTGGATTTATAATAATCATTATCATGGGCGGAGATCGGGAAGGGGGGCTTAAAGACCTTAAAACTTAAAAATAGAGCTACATTAATTTTTTATTACAACAAATCTCTCACTAAAAACTAAATGTAGGTATACTGAAAAGCACTAATTTTAAGTTTTAAGGTTTTCCAAGCCCGCCAATGATCATTATTGCGAGCGACTCGTGTTCGGATAATGATGCAACAGAGTTAATGAACGCGTGCAAAACGTTTGAACCGGTCACGAACCCGTCACGCAGTGCCTAAGGACTTTTATAATAATTGAAAGGTTAAACATAAGGCGTCTGTCGAGCGATTACCATTTTCATGTAAATAATAATACATAGTACCTCGACGCTGCACAATGGAAATGTCGCCGGTTTTTTTTAAGAACTGTGTACTTGCACGCGCCAATTATTTTCGAGTAGGTAGAATATTATGTGTTCTCGGCCTGGCCAATGTCGCCCCAACCGAAAGGTGATGTGTTCATAAGAAAACATGCTTCGATACAGATACAGAGATACGGCGAGGTTTCTCGCTAATTAATTCAGACCGGTCGGGCACGGCGACAGTCGTTAAGCCGGCAATGTAGTGCGACGACGGCCAAGACACGGCGGAATAGGCGAGAAAATAAATAAAATATCATCGTACGACCAAAACGGTGTCCCGGAAATAGTTCACAGGATGCCAATTGTATGTCTGCGTGTGTTGTTAGTCAGTTAGTGTATGTGTTCTTCTAAGACACGCCGCCGCCGCCGACATCTGAAAATAGTGTCGTAAATCAACAGTTCTCTCGCTTCACCGGTATAGTACTGTGGTGTACTGTGCACATGGCCTATCGTCGTTAAAATAAAAACTCTCTTTTCAAAAAGGACAACAGCTAACTTGTCCAGGAATTTTTACAGCACGGCCGCCGCTGTCTGCTGGTATATGGTTACTACATACAGCAGCGCTTCTGCTCCTTCTCCTGATTTTGTTGGCCTATACGTTTCGTTTAGCGAGGAACACGTTTTTGATGTACAACAACTGTGCGCGTCCCCCGGTTCTTGTTTTTATTTTTATAAACCCAAGTGCCAGACACTGTGTGGTTCATGTCTTCTTCGTTTACAGCAGCAGCAGTAACAGCACAACATATTAATAATAATATCACAAGGTGTCCAGCGACAGCGGTCGTTCCGGTTGGCGCAGGATCGCGGTGCCCCATGGGAAAATTTCGCGTTCAAGGGATATCCTCCCCTTATTCGGCCTGGTTCGCGTGTTGGATACCGCAGAGTAGGGAGAAAAGGTTATATGGTTCAATGGAATAGCGCCACGGAGAACGGGAACGATGCCATTGAGTTTTGAGTAATGATGTACTTACGTCGTTTCAAGTCATTTTTCGTTTGCGCTTAAACACTGACAGGACACGTTAAAAAAAAAAAAAAATTCCTTATAGTTCGCTAAACATTTATTATTTAACATTAGCAGTGTCCATTATCGGGGCTACACCACGTATAAATCTCTCATTGATATTTCGTTACAAAGGATAATTAATTGTAAACAATAAATGCGTATTAAGTGCGTAACAAATAATGAGTACACAATCTTTAATAACTTCAGACACGAGTAAGCAGTTTGCACTTCAAAATAATAATGATAATTAATTATGGTATTCTACTGACAAGTTTATTGCGTGAATAGAAAACGTTTTTTTTTTTGTTTTGGCACATGGAGCGTAAAACGTTTTTTAAATCAAACATTTCTAGTTTGTTCATAATGGTCTTTTAGATATTATTATTATTATTATTTAACTGTAACCTTAGAAATTCATAATACGGGTACCTAAGTATGCGTCTTCCGTTCGAAAGCCTGGCCAACACGGTTTTTATTTTATCGACTACAACCCAATGGGTTTTTAAGTAATCGTCTACCGTGACTAGAAATTGTTATTACCTATGAATGGGATATCGCTTTTTTACGATCACGTGCTGTATATTATGATTTTATTTAGTAGGATGTGTTTAAATTCAAAGTCTGTTCAACAGTCGTCAGCGACGATTTTTATTTTAATACTTAATATACAATATATATAGTTGTTTATTAACCATGTGTGTTTCATTTGTTTGCAGCCTGGTCGGAAGCTGCGGTGTCGGCGGGTCAGGTGACTTGATATCGAGGCGGGGGGCGGGTGGCGTTTTACCGCCACATCATCCGCACCCCCACCCCGCTGACTTCCCGCATCCACTTCGCTTCAACTGCATGGATATTTGCTCGTCATTCGCCACAGTCGGTTCCCTGAGTGAGTATCCAATAGTCCGAGGTCGGATTGTGCGGGCAAGTAGTGCAAAAATAAGACCGGCACAACCTGCACTACCCGCCAAACCAATCAAGTTGAGTGCTCTACTAACGTTTTTTTATGTGTCATGTGTTCAGGTTCGGGCTTGTGCAGTCCGCTGGCGCAGAGCTTTTCTCGGCAGGGCAAAAAGCGGGCACTGTCCGTTTCACCGTCGCCGGACTTGGAGCTCCATGGCCGAATCAGGTCTTCGCCGAGTGCGCTTTACTCGGCGGCCGCAGCATACGGAGCTTCCTGCTCGAGGAGCTCCAGTACGTCGGGATCTTACGGTCATCTAAACCCACTGGCGTTCACTATGCAACATCACCCGTCTGTGATATCGCCGCAAGTCCAACAGTTGCTGCGGTCAGCTAGCGGTCTTCACTTACCGTGGCATAACGCCACCTCGGTACCGTCGTCTGCTCATCATGCTTCGTACAATATACACATGTTACCAGTGCCATCGCAGGACGGTTCCCAAGTGAGTAGTTTTACATGTGTGTTTTACCCCACACGTGCATTGCAGTCAAATAAACAAAACCCTTTATTTACCTACGTGTTCGTTTAGACGTTGGCCAACGACATGTGTAAGATCAAGCATGAACGCTCAAAGTCAAAGCAGGGGTCGGCATCGAAAAAGTCGTCGCAAAAAATATCGGAAGACTCTAAGCAAAATTCGCCAGAGTCAATCTGTGACTTAAAAGGCGAACCGGATTTCATAGAAACCAACTGCCATTGGAAACACTGTAGTTTGGAGTTTCAGACCCAGGCTGTTCTAGTTCAGGTAAATGCAAAAATAATATAATATAATATTAAATACTGAAAATGTTTTTTTCTACACGAATCTAACTGTGATACATTGGTTGATTGCAGCACATAGTTAACGATCATATTCAGGCGAACAAAAAATCGTTTGTGTGCCAATGGCAAGATTGCTCCAGAGACGAGAAGCCGTTTAAAGCCCAATACATGCTTGTGGTTCACATGAGAAGACATACGGGGGAGAAGCCTCACAAATGCACGGTAATTAACTAACATTTATTACTTACTGAAAATAGTTCTTTCATAAATAATTTAAAAAAAAAGATTTCATCTATAAAAGAAAATAATTGTAATTGATTTTTATTGTTTAGTTTGAAAACTGCACAAAAGCTTACTCGAGGTTGGAAAACCTTAAAACTCATCTCAGATCTCATACAGGTGAAAAACCTTACACCTGTGAACACCCTGGCTGCAGTAAAGCTTTCAGCAATGCTTCGGACAGAGCAAAGCACCAAAACCGAACACACTCTAGTGAGGTAATTATAAGAAAATCAATTTTTTTATATCAAAGAAGCGTGTTATTAAATAATTCGAATACCTCAAATTATTTATGCTAAGATTACGGTATTAAATAATAGCAACAGTTAGTTTAAATTTGTTTTCGAAATACTGATAACATAATTAATTTGTGTATGCTATCAATTGGAAAAGTTATTGGGTGAGATTAGACTAGAGACAAAGTATTTGGACTATTCCTATAGTATGTTTATTTATTTCCAGAAACCTTACATCTGCAAGGCTCCGGGTTGTACCAAGCGATACACGGATCCTAGTTCCTTGCGAAAACACGTGAAGACCGTTCACGGGGCCGACTTTTATGCTCATAAACGGCACAAAGGCAATGGAGATAATAGTCGTGGAGGAGGCAGTGGCGGCGGAGGTGGCACAAGTGCTGGTGCTGATGATGCGTCGCCGTATAGAAGTGATGAAATGCCAATGAGTGCCAAAACTGTTAGTGTATCTAGTCCGAGCATTAAATCGGAGGTATGTATTTAAAAATATCCCTACAACTGTTATCTGTTAATAATAAACGTGCTTCTTTTGATCGCAGGAAACTAATTCTCCGGGTCAGCAACCCAGTCCTATGAGCGTCCCGTACAATAATAGGATGTTCCACGACGAGCCAATTAGCGATAGCAATCATAGTGCAGATGCCTTAGACGATAATTGGGTCGAAGACGGACAGGAAGCTGATGTGAGTATAAATATGAATACGACGTACGCATTTTATTAGACGTTACGGCTAGATTTGATTGTGTTGATTGGACTCAATTAATAATAACTCTGGGCTTATAATTCAATAGCTGTTCGACCTTATGCCGATGCAATCCGAAGTCGGAATGGTAACATCGGCGCCAATGGTACGAAGAATGCGCCGATATGTGCCGCACGCTGGACTGAAGCATGCAGTCAATGAGTTATCTCCAATGCCGGACTTGAGTCCCGGACATGGCGGGGGTTCAGGAATCCAAGAGCTGAACAAACGATTGACTGACATGAAAATGGCATCGAACCAAGATACTATACGAAGGGAAAGCACATTTAGTAATTACTGGAGCATGAAGTCTGATCATAGTCGCAGAAACAGTCAGGTATTTTAAAACTTCATTGGAAAAAAACCATTTAATATCGGTTATATTAAATATTTGACTTAACTAATTGTTCATAATTTACAGGTACCATCTGAACATCATAGGTTAAGCAACGCCTCATCTCTGTACGATCCAATTTCTGTGGATTATTCCCCTAGTCAAGCAAATACAGCTATTGGCCCCGATCTCGATGTAATTATTATTTACTTATATTGTATATAAAAAAAAATACTTCAACCGATTATTTAGAATTTCACTATTTCATTTGTTTAATCATTTTAGGCTTTTCCCGCAAGTGAAGAATGTAGGCAAATGCCAGAAAGTGCCAAGATGTCCAGACCGCAAACACACCAATCGCCCGCTGTGCATCATCCAAATTCCAATATTAACTTGGACGAGGTGGGCGAAGGCGAATCGCTGGAAAGCAAAATGGTATTACCAGACGATTTCGACGACGTCATTAAAGACATGGTAAGTTGCAGGACAAAAACATTTACACATTCGGATTACAATTTTTTTCACACTTTGATTTCGGATTAAGAATTTTAATGTATATATATTTTTTTATTTCCAGATAATTGGCGAAAAAATCGACAACTACGATCTCATCGACGAACTGACTGAATCCGCGTTGGAGAACATTCCTGCGTTGACGCCGCCCATAATCGCAGAAAATGCAAATTTGGGTAGTCCGCAAGTGCTGGCCAACCCAAGGCCCGTCCCGAATCCTCCGCCGCCCAACGATAGGCCCAAAGTGGCCAACAACAGTCATCGTAACATGCGCAGCAACAGTCTGCCGGTCAATTGGCAAGGGCAAGGACAAACTCAAGGCTTGCCCAGATCGACGTACCACCCGAATCAGTTCCAAAATCAAAGAGTTTATCAAACGAACGCGCCTCTGCAGCAGAACAACAACAACGGTGCCAACAACAACAACAACAACAACATCAACGCAGCGAATAACAACAACAACAACATAAACTGCGCCCCCGCCATGCAGCAGAGACAAAACGGCGGTCGATATTCGTACTCGTCCAACCAGGACTTTGCCAACTACAACCACAACTACGCGAATTTCAGACAGAACCACATGCAATATCAAATGAAAACCAACAGCCAGCAGCAGCACTACAGGAACAATCAGTTCCACGAACACAGCAACGGCGGTTACTACAACGGTCAAGACGCCTACCAGCGGAACAACAACGACGGTCAACAAGCCAATCCGAACGTGGCTCACGGCATGAACTACAACAACGGCGGTTACTACAACAACAGTGGCTGCAGCAACCAGCAGTGCAGTCAACAACAGCAATGCAGCAATCAACATTACTACAACAACGGTTACCCGAACAACAACGGCGGTAACAGCAAATTCGGCGGAACCTACTCCACCAGACCGAACAACATGAACCCGCAGGAACAACAGTACTATATGGACCTGGACAGGAAGCCGGAAAGCGAGGCGAGACCTATGGAAGCAACCCCCTCGTTCCCGTCGCCGGCTCAAGGATTCGACAGCAGCAACAACATGGTGTTGAAAGACATGTCCACTTCGCTGAGTTCGTTGTACGACGAGAACACGTTCTTCCAGATGTCGACCGTGTATTCGGAATCATGAGTTTTATATTATTATTTTTATTATTCTCGTGTGTAAATTAAAACTATAGTTACCACTCGGATTTAGTGTGCGTCGTGTCGATCGTTTCTTTTTTTTTTTGTATTTGTATAATATGCCAAGATCGTGTATGTAATAGTGTATAATGTCATTGAAAGATTGCATATTAAGTTTCAAAGACAAAATAGTTTAAAAGTTGAGAGCATTCTATTATTTTTCTTGTAAAAAAAAAAAAATTAAAACTTTACAGGAGTTGAAGAATAGTTTTTTTTTTGTATATTGAACGTGTTAAAATTTATAATTTTATTTATTTAAATATGTGTAAAAAAAATTTTTTTTGTTATAATGTGATCTTCATTTTAAGACTTTTATTTATTATTATTATTATTTGTTAAAATAAAATCATAATTTTCTGTATGTTTGATTTAAGATTGTGTCATTTTTTTTTTAATATAAAATTAAAACATGTTATAATTAAAATTATTTTATTTTTCTTAAGCAAATCCTTGGTAATTTAAATCAAATACTATGAACGGTTTATTTATTTAGGGATAATGTGCAGGTTAATTTCTTAGCTGTTTTGTAAAAAAAAAGAAAAAATACATCTGTATATACTGATATATTTTATGAAACACAACTGAAAGTGTTGCCCTTTTGCTATAGACTGCAATCTGATGACTGATCAATTTTAGAAATACTATAAAAATGTCATACTTGTATTCTTTACCAAAGTAATACATACGAAAACAAGATCAGTACAACAGTGCCGCATTTACCACCCCTTTCTCAGATATATTTTAGGTCGGCCATATTTAAGTGTAGCAAGAGTTGATGGGCAAATTTTAGTATAGCCTTTATAAAATAGCGTTTGAAATCTCTCATCGTAAATGTATATGTACGCTATTGTGTAAACTGCTGTCGAATATATGGACAGTCTCAGAAAAAACTAAGGCGTTATAAATATTAATTTAACCGAAGTAAACTGAAAAAAGTAATAGCCAATACACACAAACGGCTTTAGTATTTTTAACAAGATCTGGCGGTATAATGTTAAAACGCCGTCAGTGTGAAGAGAAAACCACTAGAGAGCGCTTTAATAAGTAGCTCTGAAACTTTTATGAACAAATTATTCGATTCTAATTTTTTTTTTAATTCTTATATTTTTTATCTTTATCATAGACATATAGCCGATAGATTAGATAAAATCACCAACCGGTATAATTAACCCCGTTAAACTGTATGTATTTTTAAAATATATCTAATCAACAACATTAAGATTATTAGCATAAGGTCGATACAACAAGGCGTAAGAATAATTATAAATAACATCTTATTTATAATCCCTCATCAGGGAGTTGTCCCCGTATGTGTACTTGTATGTGTTTATCAACCGAAAAGCTCGTCGAAAAGAAAATGTTAATTTGGCCATTATCCACAGTATTTCAAATTACTATGGTTTAATAAGGTCCAACTGCCAGAACGATTTTCCCAAATCGGACACCTTAACTCTTAAGGGGCAAGCGGTTGGTTTTTAAGGAGTTTTGTATAGGCAATATTTAAGAAAAAAGTGGTTTTAATAAATTTCGACCATGTCAATTAATTTACCGGTTAATTTGTATAAGCTTCGTGGTATTATTTTTAATTTAAATCATTCTGTCTATGAGTAAAAGTCATTTTAGTTAATATAATAGTACATTTTTTGTCCATCGCACAAGCTGATCCGGTAAGTAATCTGAAAATAGATTTGGATTTGTCACGAAGTTTATCTGAGATCGGTCAGCGTAATTTTTTGATATCTTACTCCTAATATGTATTAAACACGTTTGAACATTATATAAAATTTCAAATTTTAAAATCAAAATTTGGAAAGGGTTAAAATAAAAAATTATAAAAAGTACCCTGACCGATCCTAAGTAAACTTCATGGCAAACTCAAATCTGTTTTTAGATTGCTTATCGGATCACTGGTTCGGCCTGCAATGGAATAAAAATGATGTTTTTTGACTGAAAACCTAACAGGCATGCAATCCCCTTAATGTTATATAAAATTCGACCTTCGGATTACTTTGCTTACTAAATTGAAAGTTCTATTTTTGACATTTAAATACAAACCACTTATGTACCGACTTCTTTACATTCGGACGCTGATATTTTCGATAAACAGTGAGATCAATATTATTTATGATACCTGTCATTTATGATTTCCTGTAATATTTGTATTATTATGTAAAATAAAAAATCAAGGATGCACATTCCATTCCACAAACTATGTTTACTAAACGCATTCAAATTAGTTTTTCTTGAAAGCAAAAAAACATAACACTGCAAGAAAGAAATATATTAATTTTAAGGAAATTATTTACTGAAAAATAATAAAAAAAAAAAAAAAAATAGTATAAGTATTTTTTTAATTGTTGTGATAATAATCTTACTAAATTATTAGCGGTACATACATATATCTGAAAAATGTTTTACACGAATAAAAGGTAACAAAGCATAATTTACAATATGTTTGTTATTTTGATGACTAAAAACACCAAATTAGAGGTCGATAGCATTATAACAAAAAGTAACATAATATATTGTAATGGGCAAATAATGTCTTCTGACAAGAAAGATACTTCATGACAATTATTAAGTAATTACTAATGTCTAAAAAACAAGCATAATACGTTGAACAATCATTTCATTTTTTGAGATTATCCATAGTAATTGTAACCTCCGCGACCGTGACCATAACCACGATGTCCGTGTCCATAACCGTGTCCATAACCGCGTCCATAACCACTGTTATATCCACCATAATATACTACAGGGTAACTGTAGTATCCTAAACAAATAAACATAACTATCAGTCATCAAATATAAAACAATTTTTAAATTCCCAAAAATAATAAATTCAAATAAAAAAAGTGTTTTTAGGGATAACTATATTTTTTAATTGTGTCCAACCAAAAGGAAACTAATTTTGAAAAAAAATAGGGAATATAATAACTCAAGTATCATAAAAAATACTTTTAATAAAAAATTCGTTTTCCTATTTTCCGCATGGCTTTTTGTCATACAATTCGAACTAAAAAAATTAATTACAAGCGATTTTCTTCAAAATCTGTGTATTGTATTATCCCAATATATTTTTAGAAATTTGCTTTCCCGTTTTTAAATGTTTAAATTGTTAGTTGATTTCTATTTCTATAGATGTATAGCATATTAAAATAATTATCTTCTAAATAAACACCTCAGAGTATTCCGAGTAAAACTACGTAAATCTTCCATCAACTTATATTATACAAAACAATGAAACTGTTCCCCTCTGTTATATTACACGTCTTGTTTTAAACTGAATGATCTGTTAACCCTTTCGTTCTTGGGATTTTTTTTTTTCGAAAAAAAATAACAACAATTTTTTTACGTATCGGACTGATATTGATTATCAATATAGCTCTGTCGATTTTTTTATCATTAATCTATACTAGAACTTGTGTTTAAAGACATTTTTGAAAATGATAGTACGTTGTTAATATTTTATTCGATTTTTAAAGTTAAATCCTCGTACGAGGATGTCAGTAGCGAAAAGGTCAATAAAACTATTCATCATACCTCTACCATAGCCAGATCTGTAACCACTTCCGTAACCTCCGTTAAATGCTGGATTAGCCCCAACGATAGCGAGTGAGATTGTTAAGACGACAAGCTGTAAAAAAAATATAAGTAAAATAAAATAAAAATAAAAGTAACATTAAAAAAAAAAAATATTATATTAAAAAATTACTGGAACTTATGCTGAATGTTAGCTTAAAAAATTAATCTTGGTTTAAAATCGGAAAACTATTATGAACAAATAAATAAAAAACAAATGTTTAAAATGCAAACAAATAAATGTTAATTTAATTATAGAAATTATTTGTTTTAAATTAAAATACTAATTAATTGTGGAATAATACAATTTATTTATATTTAATGTTCGAATACTTATCTTAAAACCAAAAAGCTAAATTCAAAATGTAAATATTTTGCACAGGTATATTAATATTGACCACCTTCTGACTGAGGGTGAGAGCGGCACTTAACGTCAGACCAGAGTAACGTTTGAATATTGAAAAACTCGAGATAATTTTTTTAACTTGTACTTAGATTCCAATAAAATAGTATCCAACAACATTTTGATTATAATTACAGTTTTTACATTATTATTGTTCGTTGGCTAAATGGCCGTTTAATTAAATTCAAATTTGGCATACGAAGTCAATCCAGAAATTGAGGGGGTCTCGGGTACAAAAAAAATATTACATAATTTAAATAAGGGCCTTGCCACAAGTAAAACCCCGACCAAATAACGAAATGTAAACTCCAAAAATAAACAAATTTTTCTAAAAAAAAAAATATATAATTACACAAATATATATACATTTTTTTTTTTTTTTTTGGAACAGTGATCCCCTATTAAAAACACTATCATTTTTCCTACGTTTGAAGATACCTGTCATGTTGAAATTAAAAAACAAGCACCTTACCAGTAAAATGTATTTGTTGAACGCCATTGTTCTGAACTATTTGGTAACTGCTGTTCTTCGGACTACACCTGGATGTGAATGAGGGAAAATCGATGAGCACGCAAGAATTTACACAGACACAAGTGCAATTTATACTGTCACAGTTTTCCCGCCTATTGTCTTTCAACGCGCAATTTTTCGTCCTTGACATTGGCAATGGGTTTGGTTGGAAACCTGTTTTTGTTTTTAGGCGTTTTCCATTTTGGTCTTTCCGCCGAAGACCGTCTCACTGCAAATATTAGTCACCGCCAGTTGGTCGGGTGCGAATATCAACAATAATTGGCCTTAGGGTCAAAGATGTCTTGGGATTTTTCGGTTTTTTTTTTTAAAGTAAGTCACGTAGCTTACCTAAGCACGTAATAAATAATAATACAGCGAACTCGTCCCCGGTGTTTCCTGATTTTTCCACAACCGGTCGAGAACTGAGAACAGGAGATGGTATCTTAAATAAAAAAGCACCTATGGTCAATGTAATTTAGGGAAAACAACTGTTGAAAAACGTTTATTTTTTAAGTTATTTATTATGTTTTTTAAAGTAAGAATTTTTTAGCTTACGGTAAACACGACCGAATTAATTATTAATCGTATCCACGATCTTAAAAAATGTATTAGACGTTGTTTACAAAAAAATACGACACAACAGCTATTCCCATTTCAGACACAAAAAAACTCGTTTTAATAGTGTACATACATATATAATCGGAATGAGTTTTGTAATAACTATCAAGACCTGTTCAAATAATTACATTTGTCTCATGTTATCTAAACGGTTGGGGAACTTTGAAAAACCAATTAATAGTTAACAATCATAGGTGTCATATGAAAGTGCAATGGCAATGAGAAGACGGACAGGAATGAATTGACCGTTGTTGTATTTGTTGTATTGTGTTACTATTGCTTAACAACGGCACCTAATTTTGCAACTGCAGTTATCGACGAAAAGCCCTTAAAAGTTCATAAGAACATGCTACAAAATTGAATTACCATTGAAATGTTTGGCAGTAGAATTTAATATTGAAACTTTGGAATTCAGAAAGCAATTTAATGACTTGCGCTGGTTATATAATTTGTTAAAATCCAACGTTGACTGTCGCGAAATACTATCTTAACCAGTTTAAATAGACTAAAATAGAATAAATAAATAAATAGACTTAAATAGAATAAACCAGTTTAAATATCACGTTAAGATCTACTAACACATTCTGATTATATACTCCCACACACAAACGTACTTATTGTCTCATCGCGCCATTAAACCAAAAGCTCACGTTAGGTAACAAACTCAAATTTTTTTTTTCATTCTCTACCAGAGTTGAAAACTGCTTAAATAATAATTGTAATTTATAATATTATTATACACTCATTTGATTGATTATCCCTTTATTACTTCATGTATTATGTGACTACACCGACCTTACTGTGCAGGGGCGTATTTCTATATATTTTTTTTTGGGGGGGGGGACTGAGGCACTAACTCCTAATAAAAACTTGACAATATCAAACTTTTAAAACTCACGTCTCTTAGACCCATAGACAGACCAAACAAATTTCGGGAAAGGGGGCTGGAGCTCTGCCAACCACCCTCATAAATACGCCCCTGTTACTATGCTCCGTTCCACTATTTTGCCCAAACCCCATGTTTTCATATGTACATATTTTGTTAAAATAATTTTTTTACCACTTGACTGTTTTTTTCACGTAGACAGTCTTTAAATTAGATATGACAATAGAAAATTAAAAATGTTCAAGCAATATTAATGCGCAATGATTCGAACCGAAACGAAATTTTTTGAGTTATGTACACCTATAGAAGACATAAAAAACGTTTGGCAAACTCCATACTAAACGATCATTTTCAAATTGTTCGTTATAATTATGGGTCAATTAAAAAATATGCTGCCAGGACATGTTGTGCAATCAGTAAAAATGGTCAAAATTACACTTCTTTTTACACAGGTTTTAGCATCAGATAAAGAAAAACCACTGTGTATTATATCGTACAGACAAACTGCACAATAAACATAATTAATTTTGTATAATTATTGTTATATGCAGAGGATAGTATAAAAATAGTACGTATTTTCATCTTCCAATTATATTTTGACCTAAAACCGGTTAATCGAAGGTATCTAGTCTAGACAATAAATTCTAATGGCATATGTTGATGCTGAATTCAAGGGCAATACAATAATTTTGAAAGGTCATAAAATTTATGGTCCTATTTTTTTTGCACTACTGTAATGTTATGTGTAAACAACAAGGCAGACTGAACGATAAAAATGTCTGGACCGTTTATCTAAAAATCGGTCATACTGATTAATGACGAAACTTCCTACCGCTTCTTCTTAGAAACCCTGAGGCGTCTTACAGCGTCACACTTAAGCTGCAATCGTAATGAAATAATCCAAACAACTTATGCACGATATTATCTTATCGATATGTCCTAATAACAAACGCACACACTACTTATATTACCCATTATCAATATACATCAAGTAGAGCAAGTATTTTGTGTACCTACAAGTTATTATGCCAAATTTCCACTTCGTGTCTCGGTCTTTTATAATGAAATAAGATTATAATTAAAAAAAAAATTATATTTATCATTAATTTGTCGGTAATAGTCTTTAAACGAATAAATTAATACACAATACTGAAAAATAAATAAAAAATATACAAGTTTAGGTAAACATACCCAATATTTCTTTACAATATATAGGTATATACATAAATATATATACTTTACAAAATTGTGGTAAAAAAAAAACTATCGGTTCCGCCGATTATTAACGGTACAATCCGTAACCGCTCCGGTAACCGGAACCGTAACCACTGCTACCGTAGTTACCACCCGGGTAGCCGTATCCTGTAAAAGACAAACAAATTCAAAATTTTAAACAACCCTTGTCCCTTGTCTGCACTTACCTCCTGAGTAACCTTGGCCGTATCCGTATTCTTGTCTGTAACCGGACCCGTAGGCGCCTCTATAACCCGGTCCAAACCCGGATCCGTATCCAGGACCACCGTAACCACGTTCATGGCCTCTGTAACCGGGACCACCATAGCCGGGACCCCCGTAACCGGGACCACCGTAACCAGGTCCACCATAACCGGGACCGCCGTAGCCGTATCCACGTCCATAACCGCGACCTTCTCTACCGTAACCGCCATAGTAGCCTTGGGGCTCTGCTAAAGCCAGGGCCAAAGATACCATCAAAATCACACACTGAAAACCAGTTAAACATATTATTTTAACGACTATTCCAATACGATTATCATTATCATTACATTATTAAAACAATAAAATTTGTGTGGTTAAATAAACAAATAGCTTGTTCAGACCATACTTAACCTTGTGGAGTTAGGCCACCCTGATCGTCCACTAAATTTCTAGGTCCAAATAACATTATCTTCCTATCCAAAATACATACAGTTCTTTATCCTCTTTAGCACACATACAATTTTTTATTCAGACTATTCGCACTCATGTTTAACTAAATTTGTCTTATTTCTGACATAATATTTCTATTAGGTATCGTTTAGTTGTTTACATATTTTATAATGCTCAGCCCATCTCAGCCTATTCTCTATTAAATTTAGTTCGACTTACTTCTCCAGGATGATCAAGATCCAGTATTTTGTTTTCGATTTAATACAAAACAAATATATATGTACATATATTTTTGATGATTTAGAAATAAAAATAAATTATATAAATACTCTAATAAATAAGCCTAAATATTAAATATATTCAATTTAATTAAATGTAAACATAATTATTAAATTATATATTTTATAGTTATGTGTCAACCAGTTATTATATATATGGCTTAATTTTAATTTTTAAATTTCCAAATAATAGATTAAATAAAAAATGTATGAAATACATTTGTTGGAGGTATGTTAAAAGGATTATACTTTTTTAGCATTTATAATTAGAAAACTGTATTTAAAAAAGAGACATTATTTTTTTTTTGGGGGGGGGGGGGTTCATTCAACGAATATACATAATTCTATATTATTTCTATTAAAAATATTTATTTGTATATAATTTATTTTATACATTATATAATAAGTTAAATGCTTGTAAACACTAATCGTAACCCGTAGGTCAATGGACTTTTATTTGGGTATATTAAATATATTATACACAAACAAAAAGTGTATTTTAACTGTATATGAAACATAAATATTCGGGTATGACGAGAAGTTAAGTAGGTAAGGCGACAGTGAGTTAGTGTTCACTGTTTTTCTTTAGGGAGAGGCAATTTTCTTGAGGAAGACACTGCCATCCTACTCCGTAGCATAGTAGGAACCACCACAATTACCCAAAAATTCGGCCAAATAGGCGCAAGCCTTACAAAAGTATAAATCTAACAATAGTTAATATTAGCTATTATTGCTAATAATAATGTTCGGTACTCATTATTTTGATTTTTTTAAACGCCGAACAGTATTAGAGTGTAAATTTAAAAATGGTAAACAGCTTAAGCAACCCAAAGGGAGGTTTTCTGTTAAACTATAAGAAATTATTAATTTATTAATTATTAATATTAAATTCACAATTGATTTTGTTTGTTTTTCAACTTTTTTAATTCTAACCATTTTTAATCGCCTTGGTTCGTTTTTTACTTCGAACGGTTCGTGACTTTGGACAATGAAAATTTAAGTATATTTTATTATGGTCAAAAACACAATAATTTATATTGTATATCGTATATACTATACGATTAACCCCCCAAAAAAATATATATTTTAACCTTATAAACATGTTTTTTTCTTTCGGTAAAATATAAACGTTATTGCTTAATTTAACTAATTATATTATCTTTTAAAAATATCAACTTACCATAAAAATCAATTTGTTGACACCCATGTTTGTAGTAGCTTTTCGGAGTCGATGATGCCAACTAGTTCGTTCTTTGCAAGGTTCTACGAGACGAATGATTGAGAAACGCTAAAAACAACTTTTTTTTATTTACTCAGATCTAAGGGCAAGCATTTAAATACTATTTCTGTACGTTTGCGTTACTATCGGAAGTCTACTTGAACGGCCTTCACATTTTAGCCAAGGCCTGGCTCGTATAGTGCTTTTTAAACCTGTTCTTCGAACACCGCTGTACCGAAAATAAGAATAGGAATTTGGCGCAAAGTAATCTATAAGGTTAGCAAAATCTGCAATAAAATAAATATACCCACATAATCATATGTAACGCGAAAATGCGCGTGGGAACTCGTTAAATTTGAATATTACAATATTGGTTGGACTTTTATTATATATGAGAAATTAATTACCGCGTTTTTTTAAAATGAAATCAATATTAAGAGTGCACACTAATCCCGTTAAGAAAAATCATAATTACAATATTTAGAAAGAGCAAAACCCTCTCAGTAGTAATTCTAACGATACGTCAACTACATACCAAATGATGTCTATCGACCGAAATACATTACCATTAGTTTAGGATATTTACACAGCACGGGAGTGATTTAAACTCTCGTTTCAAGTTTTATTTTGCTTAACACAAAAATTTGGTGTCAATGAACGGTTATGTCTTATAACCAAACGTAAATAACGTATTTACTTATTATTTTCCTAATGTATTGTCGTTGTATTTGTATTTCATTTTTTAATAGAAAAAATTAACATTCAAGTACCTAATTAAAATATCTTGTATAATATAAACTATAAAAAAGAGCACGTGTTTTGCTATTCGATCAAGTGCCTAAATAGATTAGCATACAATTATTTGTAAAAAAATGTATTATTCAACTTGAAGACGATCTAAATTACTACATTAACCTGTGTTGACCTATGTTGCAATACCTATTAAGTAGGTTTTTTTTAAAAATGTGATAATAAATAAAATAATTAAACGTGGCACCGACATAGCTACTTAATACCATTGATTACAGATAATAGTTATGTTTTGCAATGTGTTTTCCGCGTGCAATAGCCTATGACTCATCATGGGTTTTTCTAAATTTTTTTTTTTCTTATAGAAAATAATGTACCGACAATTTATTATTCAAACTACTCGAAACTTTTAAAAACGATTTCTTTGGTAGTTCAACAATAATTATTATGATCGTTTTAGAACATTTATGGGATTTCTGTACAAATGATCTATCTCTGTCTAACGCAGTGAATCTATTAGGTATATGATGTTGTAGGTAGGAATTATCTTGTACATATTACACTATTTTACTTTTGCCATATTAATAATAGTAGTAAACTTGTTGATAATAATTAAATTGAACTGAAAATTAAGACCTGTCCTACAAATGACTGTATGTATTGGTTTGGTCAATTATCTCATTTTTTCTTGCATAATATTTTCATCGTATGTCAAAACAGATTATAAGCAAATCGGCTTTATTCGTATTCAACGAAAAACATACAGAAATTTACATTTCAAGGTCTAGATCATCAACATTAATAACATATAACTTGGATTCCCATTGCTCAGTGTATTAAATATACACGTGATATACTATGAAGTAAATTTACGATTTTAATTATATCCAGTTTATAGTAAACAGTATTAAGTAACAAGAATTTATAATAAGTCGACGATTAATAACACATGTAATACACCCCAAACATCTACATTTTCTTGGCGTATCTACATGAAATAATATTATTATTAACACAATGAAAAGCAAATAAGAATATTTATATTATTTTTAACACTAGCTGAGACGACCATGAACTGTTGTTTTTTTTACACATACATTATATTATTTGGCTTTGTTTACTATGTTTATATTGGCCTACAGTTTTTTTTTATATTGCTCTTATATAGAACGTGCATATTTGATGTCTGTTTTAATTACATACTACAATACTCGGTAATTATCTTATTGCATCAAATTAAGAGTACATAGCATTCAAGTGTTTTTAGCGCTGAAGATGGCAACATGACCGCCGAAATATGGATTTAATTTATAATTAATATGTTTTTCTTCATAGTCGATAGGTATTGATTATTATATAGAATTTCCTTTTGTCAACTTGTTAATAATACATTTTTTCGAACTATAACTGGAAATATAATAATACAGTTTAATGAATAATCCAAGAAATAATATATTTGTCACTGGGCAGTGGATAATAATTGCCAAATTTGAGTTTTGATAGTTGAAGTGCAATCGATTCGTATAGATGTCTTCGGGTTATGGTAGGTTTTTTGAACCTTGATTGTACAAATAAACACACATATATATTTAGAAATAAAGCAATAAACATGTAGGCACATACCCACTCAAATTCCAGTAGAGGTGTACTCAAAAAAACCCACAGACCAGGAAGTGGTTTCATTGTCACGGAGTCAAATTGAAGGGAAATATTTTTATAATTTTCGTTGTTCCTGGTGTGTGTTTAATATAAATCAATAGCCTAAATAAAATATATAGCTGTTTAATATTATTATACATACTGCTGCATCTAGACATCTAGTCTCTACTGATCATTATAATAACATTTTAAAAATATATTATAACATATTATCTAGAGCAAACACAATCGAGATGGCTTTAGAATAAGAAAATAATAAGCATTAAATAATAAATGCAATCTAACGCATAGAAAACGTTAAAAGCACTATTAACATTCTAATGCGTTTAAATAAACGTAATTATTTGTTTTACGTATCACCTTGGTCAGTGTTAAATAAGACACCGTTGCTATGACAACGTATTTGTTCATAACTGTAATATAACAATGAGTAATGCCTCGATTTTTACAACATTCTTGAACAAAAAAAATCACTTTAAACCTATTTGCACTCCTAATACAATTAATTAATATTTCTTCTTATAAAAACACTTTCCTTACAAACATACCACACCAAGATGTACATGAAATTGGCTCCTCTACATTATTCTATCAATTCCAAATTAGTGTCAAACTTTTGTAAATTAATTGTAAATAATTGTAAATTGGTTTTCAGTAAATCATTTTTCCTACACGTTTTACCAAAATACTTTTTCGGGGGGCCAAATTCACAGAGCCCCCCGAGTTTAACGTATCGACTCCAAACTGGTGTCAACATTTTGTAAATTAATTGTAAAAAATTGTAAATCTGGTTTCAGAATTTTTAAATCATTTTTTCGGCTTTATAACCAAAATACTCTTTCTGGGGACCAAATTAACGGAGTCCCCCGTCGTACGTGAAGTTGCCCCCCCCCCCCCCCGATCAATTTGCTAATATTGAGCAACCTATTTGCAACTAATTTGAAAAAACTTGCAACTCACTCCTTAATACCGAAAAAATAAAATAAAATTTGGGGGCCACTTAGTAGGTTCCCTTCTAACATCTACTTTGAAGGTATGAAATGTCATTCTACAAAACCGTAAATCACTCGATATCTAAGAATTTTCTCTTTTTTTAGCATGGAACATGCTTTAGCCCTTGGCACCCTAGCCCAAAAACGACACTAACAAGATTATTGTTTATTTGCCAAGAACATATTATAATTCAGACTATATAATTGAAAATATATCATTTTTAAAATTTTAAAAATAAAAATTTTTTAATTGATTTTTAGCATTGTCCAAACTGTGGCCATACTCAATTTATTATTGATATTTGGTATGATAATTTAAAATTCTGTTAAAAATTGAAAGTGTTGAAATTCTTTTGTTAAAAATAATCACTTTTGAAAAGATTATTGGTATTTTCCAAGCAAGGTAATACCCAATTTTGACATGGATATGTCTTATAGCTGGGGGTCATTCTGACAATTTGTCCGTTACATACCTAACCGGCTTGACAAAGGTTTGGTTTAGGATTGACTTATGTTTAGTTTTGGCTTGTTTTAAGTTTGGTTTAGGCTTGATATAAGATTGGCTTAGGTTTTGCTTAGGCTCGGTTTAATTTGGGATTATGGACAGTTTATGGAGGAGATTATTGAGGAATATTTATTAATTATGGAGGGATAATGTAGGATGATCGTGGAAGGTTTATGGAGAAATATTTATGAATTATGGAGGATCATGGAGGGATAATGGAGGGATTATGGAGGAGTAGGGCGGAGGAAGGATATTGGAGGGATCATGGAGGGTTTGTGGAGGGTTTATGGAGGAGGACCATGGAGGAATATTTCTGAATTATGGAGGATTATGAAAAGATAATTGAGGGATTAAGGTTAGGTTCTCGTAATCTCTCCATGATCCTCCTTCATTATCCTTCCATACTCCTCCTCCTTAATCCCTCCATTATTCCTCCATGATCCTCCACAATTCAAAAATATTCCTCTATAAACCCTCCACGATACTCCTCCATTGTCCCTCCATAATCCTCCATAGTTCATTAATATTCCTCCATGATCCTCCTCCATAAACCCTCCACGACTCTCTTTCATAAACCCTCCTCCTCCGTAATCCCTCCAATATTTTCCTTCACCCTCCGCCTCCATAATCCTCCTTAAACTTCAACTTCAACATCAACATTAACTTCAGCTCCAACATCAACGTGTGTTTGTATGTGTGTGTTTGTTTATGTGTGTGTTGTACATGTTGTATTCACAACGTGCAAACTAGATTTGAACTAAAATTAATTCAATAATAATTTAAGAAGTCTTTTTTTTATGAATTTTTTTAAGCCAGATATTAAACACTAAAATATTAGCCAGAAACTTGATATGACTTTATATACTAGCCACCTTAGATCCACACACTTTGGCATTATTCGAACATTGTTGATTTTAACGACGCGACTGACTTACCGGAAAGCCGTGTGCCTACTAAGCGCATAGAAATCCATTTGGTAAGTTCCATTAACGATATTGCATCGTACCTTATTGACAAACGCGGATAACAAAAATTATTGTTTGTGTACACTCTAATGTCGATGATGATGGAACCACGCAGAGGCATTCGTTGATTGGGAAGCTCGTGCAATGGACACACAAGTTAATAATTGTATTTTATTTAAAAAAAAAAAAGTATCGACGTTGCTTTAAAGTATAACTTTCTGACTTTATACTTATTAAATATTTGATTTATCATTGATGAGAGAACGCTAAAGAATAAACAGAGTTTACCACATGACTTAAAAAAAATATTTCCCAAAAGATACTCTTTCCCCATTTCAATATGTTATTTTCCCAAATTAGCTTCTCTATTCGAAAAGTTTTTTTTTTATTCAAGTCAGTTTTTTAAACACGTTATAGTACACGCCTTCGAATTCCTGTATATGCAGAATAATGTACATACCCGTTGTAATTATATCTAACTAATATGAATTATGACCAACAGTTGGTAGCATACAAATTAGCTCAATACATAGGTCGGTACCGTATTTAGGATCTGTATGACGTGAGGTATGGGCCCAACTGACAGGTATAGAATACTCCCTTTATAATGAGAGTTTAGGTGCCCTCTACCGGAATGTCTAAAAAATTAACCAACCAGAAGCTATTCTCTAACTAAACCTCTAGAAAGAAAAACGTAAAGTTTATTATTGAATTGTAGACAACTTTACTATACAGTATTAGGCACTGTTTATGATCGGCGCTATAACAAAAGCTTCTATTAAACTCGTGTATTGAAAATACTACCATGTACCGACCACTTGTACCGTTTACCGCTTAATTTCTTTTGTAAGTAGCTGACATAACGTTACACTACTTGTCGATGCCATATATAATCAAGATTGTAAGGGGCTATGCATAGGCAATGGCTTACACATCACGAATATGCATATAAACGCCAATTAAAATGTGTTGTATATACGGCGTTACCCTATTATTTTCTTATTTACAAAATTTCAATTATCCTAATTCTTTTTTTCTCCACACGTCTGTATAGTCGTATTTATTAGAAATCGATTCTTTCCCTGTTTTTAAGGGATTTTGTATAGGCAATATTTAAGAAAAAAAGAGGTTTCAACAAATTTCGACCATGTCAATTCATTTTTCGTTTAATTTGTACTTGTAAACTTCAAGGTATTATTTTTAAATTAAATAATTTTTTTTATGAGTAAAAGCCATTTTGGTTTATTTTAGACCAAAAAACCAGACAAAATTTCGACTACATAGGATAGTCCAATTTCCAATCTGTAAAGGGATTGATTCTTTGGCTAGTTTACTATGTTATTCAGAAATCTGATTTTCATTTAGAATTTTAGTTTCCTGTAATAAAAGTAATTAAATTTTCATTTTTTTCAATTTTAAAACCCGATTTTTTTTATATAAAAAAATCAAAAATCTACATAACCTAGTAAAGTTGCCAAAGAACTTGTATGTCTTTAAATATTTTACAACTTATAATTCATCTTACCACAATTAAATTTATCGTATGGCTATCATACACAAATAAAATATGTAATAAGGGTTGCATTAGTGAAAATTCGTACTGGCTATAACTTATGTTACAAGCAACGAAACGTATTACACAATAATTAAACAATAGCAGCATAACTAAATTTATACTAAAGCAAACATTTTTAAAAACTTCAGTCTCCGTCGTGTATTGTTATTGAAAAATTAAAACTATCAAAATGCATTATTGCACTTGTATGTAACGGAGGAAATTTCTCATATATACCAATTATTGCTCTCCGATCGTCACAGATCGTATAGTGTATATTGTAAAAGTATCATTCAAATGTTTTCAAACAAATTAAAAATAATACGCATCTTACATAAATAAATAAAATAAAAGCACTATATATTATATGAATACATACATGAACGATGTTTGAATCGAGTTCGTCAAAAAGGACATTATACAAAATTAAATTAAATTAAAAATCACATGTATAATAATAATGAATTAATGAAATTGGATATTTTAGCGAGTTAAAATTATAATATCGCTATCTCTAGTGACTTGTCAATTGTTAATTAATTACACGAGGTTGTCATAACTATTAGTAGCCGCCGTGGTGACCGTGTTGTTGATGGTGACCACCATGAGACGAGCTGCCGGAAATACCGCTGCTGCCGGTTTGTCCCTCGCGGTTTTTGTGAACGGAAGTGAATCCGGAATTCTCTTCAACCACAGTTCCTCGCACGCCTCCGGACTGTTGGCCATACTGGGAACCACCGTTGGCGAACCCACTGTTGCTACTTAATCCGCTGCTGCCCAACCCGCCGCTGCCCAATCCGCCACTGCCTAATCCGCCACTGTTGCCGCGGATACCGCTCTGTCCAATGCCGTTGAGTCCAGCTCCGTTACCGCGGATGCCGCTGTTGTATCCGTTCAGAGAGCTGCCCCCCTGGTTGAATCCAGACGCCCCCTGGGCCGTTGAACCGCCAGCACCGAACGACTCAACGCGCTTGTTGCTGTAACCCGATTCGACGTCCAAGTTGCTTTGGCCGGCGCCGAAGCTCGACTGTTGTTGGTTTTGCGACGAACCGAAGCCGCCGCCGGAATTGCTGTATCCGGATCCGCCCAACCCTTGGTGGCCTTGTTGATGATGTGGCTTGCCTATGGTTTGAGCGGCAATCGCCACCACCAAAATAATAGTCTGAAAAACGAAGCCGATGCAATTAATGTTTGCAGCCGTTTAAAAAAATATATATTTATATATAAAGCATTAATATTCGATTAAAAAAAAGTCTATCTATTTCTAGCTTAGCCCCCTCTCCTTGAATAAGAATGTTAAAGTTTAAAAAAAAATAAACTGAAGTGCAGAAAACAAGTCAGACTACAAATTACAAACATTTTCATAACAAAGTGTTGTCGGGCCAGCTCAAAAAATGAATTATGAATAATATTACAAATATACTGAATATAATATAATGATAAAAAATAGTAGACCTTATATCTCAATCCTTATTGTTTGTTGATTCAAAATGATTTACTTATGTAAACTGCTACAGTATATTATACATATTACTTTTTATTTAATTTTGCGCCAAATAAATCCCCAACAAAAACCTAACTGTGAAAAAAGGTCTACCCCAAGTTCTACCCCTGCCAAAAAGGTCAGCTTGCCATAGTAGTGATATCTACATTATGGCCATGTCTGCTCTTTCTTTAGTTCATAACCTCACTTCATTCCTACTTCCTATAGCAACGCTGTTTTTTATTTGTATTGCTTAACACTTAGCCATTTTCTGAACGCGACATAAAACAGATTTAGCCACAATGTATAGATATCACTACTTTGATAGGCGGACTTCTTTGGGAGGGAGTTTGAAACTTAGCCCTTTTTTCACAGTTAGGTTTTTTTTGGAGATTTATTTGGCGAAAAATTAAATAAACCTTTTCCTTAAACAATAAACCTTAAAGTGAATTCATTTGTGCTGGCTTCAGCGTCGTCTTGGCTTAATTCGAGTCATTAAAGGGATTATGTTAGATGATGAGTGAGTCAGCCAATCAGTCAGTAATAAAAATGCAAACTTCGAAATTTTCCTTGTTTGAAAAGGCTTATTATTAAGGGTCAAATTTTTACAGTGCCCTAAGTTTAATCTGTGTGTCAAATTTCAGAAGCCCATTATAAGAAGAAGCAGAGATATGAGTGTGCGAAAAACCAGGTGAATTGGTTCATGTAAAAATACACTGGCATTGCAGGAACTTGACCTTGCGCTCAGATTATGATTTATATAATATATTAAAATGGAAATAGGTGCCTAATTAGATCAATGTCCATCGTTGCTATTATAATATTATTATTATTGTTATTGTTGTTTATCAAGATTCAAAAAACATGAAAAATGAACGAATAGGCACTCGTACTGAAATAATTAATTTAATAATATGTTTTTGTTGGAAAATATTAACTGACATCATAAATGTATTATTCATATTGTGAATAACAAAAAAAACAATAGAGTAATTAATAATCCAATTATTTTATAGAAAAAAAATATTCCATAGTTGTGATTTAAGTAGTTTAGAAGTAAAAAAACAATAGGTATATCTTTAAAAACTAAAACTTTTCCATTATAATAAAAATTTTGATTTTAACGCTATTTTTATTTTATAACCAATAATAAAAATACTATTCGAAATAAGATAAAAAATTAAAATACAGAATTGTATACTGTCATATTTAATCCTAATCCTATAGTGCATGGTACTAATCGCTTCCCATATCCAGGTAGTTGTTATACTAGTTGCCTCCGTAATACCATCCGAATAGCCTTCGGGCTTGTGACTTATTTCAGGTTTATTGTTTTATAATGCATGTTAATGTTGTAAATTGTTTTAGTCCATTTCTATATTTGTAACTACATAAATACATAATGTAATACAAAACTTAATATCGAAATCCTTCAAGTTTCCCGTCACACTAAAATTCCTCGTCTGATCTGTTGTATCCGAATAGTTCATATAATGTATTAAACTTTTTGGAAAGAATGGTTACTGGTTCCCTAGTATCTCATAGCAGAAACATATTTTACCATATTAACCACTCATTTACCACTGAACCGAATGGAAAATCATTTAAACGTTTTTTAATAATCCTTAAAATCAAATTATTAACACATTAAATGGGTCGAAACCCATTATTGACACATTAATATTGTATTATACACATGGTAAATCCTCAATCAGCAAAAGATTAGATGTTTAAAAACTGCGCTCTTAGGTATTCCCTTTCTTGAAAGTTTACTTTGTTATTCTAATCTACATACCATAACCATTTTCGACATAATTTTTAAAACAAAAATGCACATAACAATGAAGTAAAAATGTGAAACTTGAAGTTTCAAGCGTAGTTAAAGACACATTTTGGATATCTACAAAATGGAAAATAAAAAGATAAATTTTAATTTTATTTTATATATTTTTTCTAAGGAGAAGTATTTCATTGTTTGGTATATTATATTTTTACAGAATAATCTACTTTAACGCTATTGCCTATAGGTAAGTTTTTTCGTTTTATTATTATTATTTTTTTTTTTAATAGGTATGAGTTAAATTAAACAAATATTTTAAAACTTGTTAATATTTAAAAGCTTAAGCAGTACACTTAATCACTAGCTTAAAAAACTCCGTTATAAATTATAACTTTTAATATTTTTATCCCACGTTACTTGTTCAATCGGTTTCTTTCAAGTGTCTGAAGTCAAGTTATCGTGATATATGCACCGAATTGGATAGTTAATCCTTGTCTATGAGTTAATCCGCGATCGAAAAATGTTTATTTATCGAATAAATAAACGTCGATAATAGTTATGCACAAACAAAAATAACTACGTTTAACAAATGATGCTTCGATTTGTACAAAGTCGCCCGGTTATTATTATTACTATTATTATTACACTAAAATATAATTTAAAAAAAAATAGTAATTACCAATTTGTTCATGATGTCTTGAGTGAATGTGTTAACGAATTGGCGATAAAAGTAAAAATTAATTGTTTCTTTGGCGATAGTCTTGGCGGTAACGGTTCAACTGCGACTGTAGACGTCTGATGGACGTTGGTCTTTTTATATATTTTTTTTTTCCGAAACACATGTACGATAAGCCGACGAGCGAGCGGTGGCGGGTGAAGAAATTTAACTTCCTACCAAAATCGTTTCGTGTACCCGGTGGTCGGACGATGACCGCCGGACTTGCGGGTTTTTTTTCGATTCTGTTATCTAGTCCGACGGCTTTTTGGCCGGCCAACAATCGCATAATTATTAATATTATTACACAATATTATAATACAAAATTTAACGATAACAACGTTGGATTCAAAGACGTTTGGCCTGGGTAAGTCGTCGAAATCCCCAAAGGTCGGCTCATCCGAGCTAGCTGGGAATAACAAGACAATAATATATTTTTATTTGCAATCGACGATTACGCGGACGTTATCTCCGACCGGACTTTAATCGCTCTGACCTCGAAAATACATCAGCAGGTAATGGGTGATGGACAAACAGTAGTGTTTGATAAATATTCGCTGTATTACACAAAACAATACCTAATCATTTCGAGTACCTACTATAATTAACCTATATTACCTCACGTGTTGTACGATTGAAACAAACCAATTTTTTTATGAAACCTTTGCATTTGTTGCGACCTTGTCGTTTGTAATGCTAGTACAATACGTTTAAACGGTGTACTGAATAAAACGTCGATAATGACGTTGAAAAGAATAACATTGATCCGTGAACTTAGCCCTCTCAAACCACTCGAATGGTCAACATTACAACTTGGATGCGTTTTACGTATGAAGGGCACAGGTGAAAAACGGTTGTAGTCACCTTATGAAAATTTTAGAGTATAGCAAAAACAAAGCTCGTGAATTTCACTCTCTCTTACATATGTACAAATAAAATCACATTAAATACTTTTTTAATAAAAAAATGTATTTATTTAAACAATCTTTTGACATAAATAATAAAAAATTAATGGCATAAATTGAAAAAAACTATTTGAAAAAAAAATTTCATAATGTCACTACTACCGTTCTTCCCCTGTGCCCTTCATATATTAATAGTATAAAAATAGAATTATAAAAAATGTGCAATATTTTACTTGAAAGAGTGAAATCAACTTATAATTACCATAGATTTACCTTCTTTTATTTTGCTGCCCATATCATCTTAATAACAGTCCACTGTCTAAGCAAACAAATAACAAACGTTTTGAAAAAAAAATTATGCGTTTGGATAATAGACCTATCTAAATTTAGGGTTTTCAAAGTGTGTGTGTGTAATATAATTTTCTTAGCTGACAAATGTTGGTATTAATTTTGCAAAAATTACAACTTGTCTTTGCGACACCTACTTGCTTGTAAAAATTACCAAGAATATAGAAAATCGAAATTTAACTGTTCTTGAAATACACAACTTAAAACTCTAGCCTTGATTCTTATTAGTTTTATTGTAACATATAATTATAAACTTGATAATCAAAGGGAGACTTGTGTTATGACTCACTTTTAACATTTAATTACCAACTCACTGTCATTAATTAAATAATTAACTTGCAGAGGATGGTAGGGAAATGTTAATACATTTCCTATTTTCATGATATAATACATACCCATTTAAATAGTAAGTAAAACATAGCTGGGGTTGTTAAAAAATATCCACGGTGATAAGCTATAACGTATGTAAATTAATTGCATCGGATAATTAGTGAATTTGATATTGATGATGTAATGCAATTTCCCAGAGATAATTTTTACACTATACTGCAAAGTAGTAATTACAATGATCAAAATATAGCATTATTCTTACACAGAAAATATACTAATTAAAGGGCGAGTACCTACTTAATAGTGGTTATCTGAGTAAACTACAATAATAGTGTGTTTGAAAACTAAGTTGCATACGGTATACCGTGTAATGTAATAAACCGGTATAATGAAAAATTGTAATTAAAAATGTATGGTCGATTAAAATTCAACTATAATAAAGTGCTGTTAAAGTAAAAATTAAAAGAAAAACAAATTATTCCTATAATTCAATGATAATCACCGATGGTCGCCTTCAACTGTTGGTCTCTATTACTCGGGTAACTGAACTTTATATATTTTATATAAAAACAATATTTAAAGTAAACTTAAAAGATAATTAGTAAGCTTTTGTTGCTCTCCGTAATAAGAGACAAGTAAATAATGTGTTTATCATAATTATTGTTGTTAATACCTTGCGGGTATTTCAAATATTAAAACCAGACAAAGAAACTATTTAATTATTTTTCTTTGTTTCTTAAAATACATTCACAAGCATGTTTTTAACAATATAATTCCGTCATTATTAGTGCAGTCCAAGAACTGTATGGAGAATTGTACGCCAAGTTATGAGCTAAGCTTATGGATTATATAATGCAAGTTGAATGAAGCAAATCCTAAATAACGCAAACAAATTTTAACTAAGTAGAAACTACACGTATTTTTTGAGTACCCATTAATTTAAATATTAACCATAAGTCAATCGAATCATGGTTGAAAAATCATGATTACAATAATCATTCAAGTTATTCCTTAACCAGTTTTTAATGACGTCTGTTATTTTGCTCTGACAAACAAAAACAAACATTTAATTGTGATTAAACGAATAATCGAATAATTGAATAATAATTATTATTAGCTTCGCGCACTCAGGAGTGTACACAGTTTTACACTGAGTTTTTTTTTAGTTTTTAGATATTTTGACCCAAGATATCTCGCAAACCGCTAAGCCGATTATAATACATATATAGCTAGTCTATACATCAAAAATTATTGGCCATCAGGCCTTTGGTGGGATTTTTTTTTTTAAATATTGGTACTTAATTTTGAATAATGTTAAATCAAATACAAATGCAAATCGTAGGTTGGAGCTTTTTATAAAAAAAATAAGGTGATTTTATTATTTAAAACGCCTATAACGCAATAAAAATATTGTTTTTTAACGCTTTAAAGTATTATTTATGTTGTTTGCTAAAAAACAATTTTGCTTACTCTCAAATAATAGCTATGTGTTGTTTCACATTTGGTATTGGTATTATACAGTATGACTCAGTAAAACATAGTCTTAAAATGTTTAAGACGTAAATGAATCTAAATTAATATGTATTATTTCATCGATATTAGCAGAAAATTTATTCTCTCCGCTTTGTTCTCTAAACAGACATTTAGAATTCAATCTAAAGTTTTTCTGGTATATAGTCTTGTGTTTTATTGGGTCATTTAACGCGTTTTGCACATATTTACCACAAACAATTTTATTATTTGTATTAGACATGTTTTCTTCCATATAAAACAAATACCTTCCACTACTATACATTTATGCAGACTTTAAGTATTGCAATGTAGTAACTTAAAACAATAAAACTCCTTTATATATGATAATATTTATTATTTTGTTTACGGATTTTTTTTTTAAACAAATTTTACCACAACGAGTTGTTTGAAATCTCGACGTTTTTTTTAAAGGATTTTAACATAACACGTGTACTATTAATTCCTCGACTGGTTTCCAACAGTAAAAAACCACAGATTGAGATGAACAGCTATTATCTATACCACAGTCCGTCGCGGTCGTTGTTGCAATGTTGAAAGTATGGTTGCTTCTTTTGTTTGTGCTCGGGACTTGCAATGGCGAGCACGAGGTCAGTTCTGAGGACAAGACAACGTTGATAAACAAGATCCATTCAATTTACGCGATCGAAAACGGGTATGAAAAATCCGGCGTCGAGTTTGTCGACTTCGAAGTGAAACACCGGAAACGCAAACTGTTGCGAATGATCTCGGAACTAAAGACCAATGTCGTCTGTGGCCTAACGTACATAGCCCTGTCTTACATGCGCATTTCCAAGCATCTACTCCTGTGGTACGGCGAAGATCTACTGGACAGTGCGGTGGGTCAAATCGAATCGTTCAACGAGCACGCGTTAAACATGATCACTGTGCTGTACAACCTTGGCTACGAGAATCCCATGATAGGCATGTGGTATTTCTATATATATTCCAGTAAGATCGGTTCGTTCCGAGCTCGCATTGACAAAGACAAACAAAACGACGCTAAACTGACGACGTTTGAATTGGCCAGCATCCACGACAATGTAATCGTAAAACTGTCGATGAACGTGCAAACGTGCGACCGCAACAAACACAACATCGCCTCGATGGACCATACGCTGCACGGACACTACAAGTATTTGAGTACCAGCAATGCCGGCCATAAGGAGATCATCGCGGTGATCGAGGCCTACAAGAGAACCGTCAGCGGGTTGATCAACGACAACAAGACGTTGCAGTACGGCTGTAAGAACGCGAGTAAACTTACAGTGGACCGTCTATACTTGAACGGTGTGGTTTCAAACGAGGACATCATGAACGAATTGCAAAGTCATTACGATTCGAAAATTGTTTGGGGCGACGCGGCCGATGTACTTAAGAACACCTACAGCCACCTGATCGATAATCCCAGCGTCATGTTCGACAACCTCAGAGGAATTCAACGTTTCCAAATGTTGTTTAAAAACCTTCTGTTAACGATAGTTTTACGTTTCGTGTGGTCACACTTGATCATAACGGGCCATCCCAACAGGGACGACAAGTTGCCGGAATTTTGCTTTCTAATAAGAGTCCATCACCAAAACAACGAGTTCACAAAATTATTAGAACCATTTCTACGATTTTTACAACTACACAACCATCCAGGTTTAAAAGAACTGTTGTTCTGTTTACAAGGAAGAACGTTGTCATGCGTGAAAAGTGGCGAAGGGGTCGAAATAGTAGAGAGGGAACTTACAACGATAGGAATAGGTTTTAATAATTTCAACCCGATGGACGGTTCTTTATACGATGACACAGATTTGGCTGTCAGTTATGATAAACTGGTATCGTTTGCCAAAAAGAATAGTTTGCCTACTAAATATCGCCGTAGATCTATCAGAAAATATGCAGCGTTTAAACAAAATCACACACGGCTTTCTGTATTCATCAACCGCGTACAATATCAGATTTTACAAAATGTCGACTTTGAGTTGATGCATATGCTCTTCAGCAACACAAGCTTTACAACACTAGATAAATTCAAAACTAACAAAGCTAATAAAATGAAATTCTCGGAAGGTTCAATTAAAAAATATGAAGTGGCAAACACCGAAAGCATTTTATATGTAGAAAAAATCGACGAGATAATAGAAACAGCTTCCGATATCGACGAAGAAAACAGTTGTCATATCCTATACGAAACATGTGAAACTAAAAATACACCAGAAGATCAATCACAGAGTAAACCAGACGACGATAAAACGGATGACGCTGAAGATAAAAAAAAACCTGAATATGATTCGTCATCAGGAATAGTAAGAGATGTGCCAATCGAAGATGGTGATACTAATACACAGAGCTCTGTGTGGTATAAAGGTGAAAAAATTGGGTAAGGAATTTTTGAGCCAAAAAAAATGTATCTATTTCTAAAAAAATGAGCTATGCAAAATAGATTATAATAAAAATTTGTATTCTAGGGAGGAAACCCCAGAAGATAAAAAAGAAGGTAAGTCCGATCGATCAAACATTTCTTGTTCGATTTTTACATGTCACTAAACTATTAAACGACAATGCATTTTTTTTTTGGGGGGGGGATAAAAATGTAATTTATATATATTTGCAATGTATTAAACGTTTTATGAACTAACTTAAGGCCTGCGGTCACAACGACGTTTGTGACATGTTTTGGAGGATGTCGAGCGTCGCTGTGAAATTACTGAGTAAGATTCCTTCCAGGCTGTGGATTTATATAGGATAAGGCAAAGAAGAATCTTTTTCGCACTATCTCACTTCGGGCCTAAAATGCCCAATGCCAAGTTTTACAAAAACTTTGTCGCAAATTTAGGACTTAACATATTAAGAGACAAATAATTGTGCTTACACATTTTTTTAAATACCAAAACATTATATTTTTTGCAGAATTTGTAAGTTTTAACATAAACACGCTATCATTTCGCAAAATTTAACAGATCTTGTCAATATTTTTAAGAACATAAATGTATAGTGCCCTTATTAAAATTTAAGAGTTTTTTTAAAAAAAATTGTCGTTTACATAAGTTCTTTTTGGCTTGGTAAATTAAAAACTGATATCAAATTTAAAATCAGCAAACCCAAAAACATAATATGACTTATTTCGACATTTTTTTCGCTAAAACCCAGGCTATTGTTTTAACTTCGTCGCGGGGTATTGTTTTCACAATTAATTGATTTTATAAGAACTTTCTTTACATCTACTTATTACCATTTATTTATAGTGTGCTGGCTTCTTACTTTGTTAGACATAATATATATAAACAATATACGACACAAACCACTTTCGGATAAGTAATGGTTTATATATATATATATTTATCATGTAAATTAATAAGATAATATTTTTATTGAAATATAATTACCTTATAAAAAACTTCCCTATCATAGCGGAAACTAAACAAGCTCCAGAAGAAGTCAAAGCACCAATATCAGAACAGCCACCGTTAGAAATTGAGAACCATCTAAATGCACGAGATTCGGAAGGCTGGTCAGCTCAGTTTTGGGAATCTCTGGTTAAAAAGCCGGAGTATTTATATTCTGTAAATGCCTATAATGCAAAAGTAGAAGAATCGCAAAGTGATACCGAATAAAAACTTCAACTATAATATTCCGTGTTTTAACTTTTTGTATAATATTACAATAATAAAATTACATTTATACTATTCTAGCATAAGTGACTATTGTCGAAAATCCTCATTGCTGTATTAATAATATTATAATATTGATAATTGCGAAAAATGATCTTTACTTTATTCCTCAATGGCGTTCTCTCAAGTTTTTGTTTACATTAAATACTTACCAAATATTCTAAGTCGTTTATTAAAATTTTACCAAACAAATTTACCATAAGACTATGCATAAAACTATTAGGTGTCCATTATAGAATTTAGGTAGGGAATAATAACTGTTGTTAACGTCCATTAAATGTACATACAACCATGAAATTGTTGTACAGCTTTAAAACATGTAGGTATTGCTACCTATACAAAAAAAAAAATACATGACTCGATTGGTAAGTATGCCGAAACGTTTGTAGCAGTCATTATGTTAAACAAGAACAGCTAAACACGTCATACGAGCTGCTGTTGGTTAGGTAAAACACATTTAACATAAAACAAACACAGTACACGCAAAACAACAAGATTTTGGAAAAATGACATCATTTGTATTTTTAAAAAAAATAATCACAACGCTTCAGCATTCATTTCTAGCACTTAATTTATATTAAATTATAATACACCAAGTGTTTTTAATTTATTTTGTTTTCACACATTTATATAATCGTTTTTATTTCGTTAAAAACTCAATAATCATCAAACATAATATTATTAGTAGTTACAGCGCTTAAGTATAATAATCTTGTTACAAAAAAAAAAATCGTATTAAGCGGAACACAATTCCAACGAAAAGTCTTCGAAAACAAAAAAATTTGAACGTAGTAAAATAATAAATTTGCGGAAGAAAATATTTAATATAAAAATAGTTTGTATATTATATTATATGGCACAAGAAGACGAGAAAAAAAAATTTATAAAAATAGGGAAAAGTATATAGTACAAAGGGTAACAAATACGGATGTGGTTCACTGGCGAGTAATATTAGTAACTTTATCGGCTTGTTTTTAAAATAAACTTAAAAACATCGCAGAACATAATATGGAAGTATTTCTTTAAAGATGTATATATATATATAATATAAATGTATAAATAAAGTGTTCAATCATTATAAAATTCGTAAAAAATAAAAACACAAAAATATTTTTTTTTTAAAACCTTGAATTAAAGTCAATTTCAACAGTAATCCAAAAAAAAAATATCGAAGCTAAAAAAAAAATTAGTAAGAATATATTATAATAGATATTTAATGAAAAAAATAATGTATAAAAAAAATAAAAATAATAATAATAAAATAACTACAATAATTTACTTAACCCTACAGAAGTGAACAGACTCTCTTTTGAAATAGATTTTGATTTGGACGAAATTTAAAGTCTCAGATTTTTTGTTTGTTTTGTTTTAATACTAAACGCACACACATTTGGAACACACTCGGTGCGATAATTATTAATATATTAATAATTATCATACTTATAATATGTTTACCGGGCGATATTTTTTTTTTGCCTAAATGTGTTTTTCGTCTGCACACTTGACGCTTTTCAAATGGAACGACCCTCTCCTAATGTCTTGCAACACCAAGTCCACTATGCACACGTCCTCCTCTCTGGGTTTCATGGCCGGAGCTCGGACTCGTTTCTTGCCGTTCAGGTCGTCCTTTTGCATCTGCAAAGCGAGTTTTTGATTTTTCTCCTCTTGCTTTCGCCTGTTTTCGTTTTCCTGCACAAAACAAAACCGTATAGAATATTGCGCTCAATATAAAATAAGACGGTTTTTTATTTACAAAAATTCAATCTATGATTTTCACTAATCGACAGAGAGAAATCTATGTAAAGTTGCATTTTTTATTTAAAAATTACTTTCAAATGTATGTATGTATGATTTAATGCTAATAATATTATACTTAAAAACTTGCAATTTCGTAGTTATTTCTATTTGCAGTACCATATTGTATTACTCTGAATTTATATAAATATATTAAGTTATTATTATTTATTGAAAGCGTAATACTTGTACTTGGTAAAAATAATGTTTGATTAATGTAATTATTAAACTACACAAGTCCAATCTATAACCTAAACGTGTTGTTTTTTTTAATGAGCTTTGTTCGATAAAACCAAAAGCTTAGCTAAAATAACTATCTTCACGTAGAAACTAAAAAAAAAATCTAATACTTAAGAAATTATGTATACCACCAATAATTTTTTACCTGAACGACTACTTGAATTCGGTCAAAAAAGTTGCACAGCAAAGAAAAACACTCTTCGATTTTAAACGTGGACACGTCCTCGCCAAAGTGTACTGCCACTTCTCTGACGACGTCCATCGTGCTTCGATAAAGCTCGTTCAATTTTTCCACATCTTTTACCGATTGTTTTATGAAATCTAAGCAAATTACAACATTATCAAGATAAACAAACAGGTCAACTAAAAACAAAGACAGTCAAATACATACAGGTGGATCTGAACGGTAAAATTATTTTTATAAAAAAAAGACGTTTTTCCCCATTTCTTTTATCTCTTAAAATTAGGCGTTACTCGTTAGATAACTAAAAAAATAAATCTAAGTAAAAGCTTTGAGTTATCTAAGTGACCGGACAAATTCATTTTTCGTTTTTCTATTGATGGAAAATGTTTTTCTTTTTTTGTCAATCGTGTCTTGCAGATAAGTATAGATACAATTCAGATAGATCGAAATACTTTCAAAACAAAACACATTATAAAACTATTTTGTAAAATAAATAGAACGTTTGTTATAATATTTGACGATTTGAACATTGATTGCTGTACTAAGGAAATGTACTCGGCGGTTAATTTCGACGACTATGTCGTTGAAAACGTTTTTATGAACAGCGTTAAATTTGATTCCACTACCTTTCCTGTTACATATTAAGGGGCTGGGTGTAGGCAATTTTTGTTCGCATAATCTTAGTGTATTGTTTATCAATGAACAGACTTCAATGATAGCTTATCAGACTATATCACAAGGAAAAGCGTCCATACCTGTGAATTGCGCAGATATATGTTTTTTGGCTTGTTTCGAAAGTTCCGAGTGCAGACTTTTGAATTGTTTGGTAAGTGTGTTAATCTCCTCTTCTACCGTGCAAACGGATATCCTAAGTAAACATTAAAAAGCACATTTTCAAATCCATCGACTTTCCTACAGTATGAATTCGATTTTACCTTGATAAATTTCGTAATGCCGGAGTGTATTTGGTGAAACTCAATAAGTCATTTTTGTTTGTCTGAGCCACTTCGACAACAAAGTGGAGGAAAGTCACTCGTGGTTTGTTCGCTCGGGTATCGAGCAATTTCGGCAGAGTATCCAAAGTGAAACCACATGCATTGCCAGCATAACTTCCCTAAAAGTAAAAAATAAATAAAACATTTTTTTTTTTGTATATTAATAAATAATGTTATATATAACTGTCAAATTCCATAAACCGTCTGAGCCCCAATCGGTAGGAAATAAACGGATTATAAAAAGTACAAAAAATATACGTTTATATTTTAAAAAATCTTATAAATCTGCAACTTACAGCATTTAGATAGTTGCCAATAAATAAGACCAGCGATAGAAATTGTTTGAAAGGCTGGTCTTCGATTATATTATGGCACATTTCTTCTATACTACTTAACTGAGTACAGATTTCTTTTGATAAAATAGGTAATTCTTCTTTCTAAATAAAAACGACATTTTAGATAATTGTTATTTTACGGGTGTATCGCCGACCAATAATATTTACTTGTATCATTAGTTTGATTTTTAACTGATAAAACGGAATATTGTTAAGATTTAAACAAAAAGATTCAGCTGTCCCGTACGTCGCCGGATCGCCATTATGTTTCTTCAACATTTTTATCTAAAAAACAAAACAAATGGAGTATTATTATTTATTAATTGATAATCGATATTAAATTAAACGTATACGATCTCCTGTTCTTCAACTATATACTAACTTCATCGTCTGTGGGCAAAACTCGTTGAAGACCTTTGAGTTTTTCAATAGGAATTGAAGCTCCGTCGTCGAGAGCTTTGATGATTTCACTGGGGCCCGATTTGAATTGCTTCAACATTATATTGATCGCTAAGCTCCTTTTGCTATCCAATATATTTGTAACGGTAGCTTTGGGCGTTCCGTTGTTGGACAAGACCGCAGGCGATGACTTGGCTCGAGGTTTTTGACAGAAGAGTTCCTCGATTCTTTTGAAGTTTATAGATAGATCAGGAGGATCCGCAGATGACCAAATGGATTTATCTAATATTAAAAAAAATGTATATTGTTTTAACAAATTCATTGTTTATAATTAGAAATAAGCATTTTTCTATTAATTTGTACTCGAATAATAATTTATAATAAAAAATTATTCATGATTTCTTTTTTGGCAGGGTTTTTATGAACAATTTGCATCTACATTTTTTTTGTGACGTTTTGTTGTGAAACAATTTTCCGAAAAAAACGTGTTCATGGGCCAATGACTATCCCAGTAGGAAGAGATTGTTTTATTGAACTTGACCTTTTTTATTATTAATTATTCGGGTCTTATGAACAATCGAGTGATAAATAAAATTTAAGAATTATAATGAATTTGAGCCATTTTTTAATCGAACACGAAGTTGTTGAACAATTGCCAACTCTGTTACACTTTATGCAATGTTATTTATTTTACCCAAGTTGCGGTTGTTGACTTTTGTCCAATTGATAGTCTTCATTTTCGTTTTGGGTAATGAATAGTACTTGATGTTGTTGTTGGCCCTTCTCGTGGGCATTGTTCGGTGACCGTTTGTTATATTTGGAACTGAATATGTCATTTGACTGAATTCGGTCAATCCCATCGAAGGTACGGGGGGCGGAAGAGGGGGTGATGTTACTCCTGTTGTTAAGGGAGGTGGAGGTGGAACCGATCCCGACGATGGAAATGGTGGTGGCGGTGGAGGACAGACCATTCCTGGCATAGGTGGTGGCGGCGGCGGACAGACCATTCCTGGCATAGGTGGTGGCGGCGGCGGACAGACCATTCCTGGCAAAGGAGGTGGTGGCGGCGGCGCAGGAATCATTCCGGACGGCGGTGGCGATGAAACCGTTCCGGGTAGAGGTGGTGGAGGTGGTGGTGGTGGAGGCACTCCTCCCGAACAAAAAGACGATGTTGTTGTACTAGGAATGGTATTCGTTAAAGATGGAAGTGGAGGTGGAATTGGTATAGAAGATATGGGAGTGTTTGACGAAGTGACCGGCAACGGCGGTGCAGGCGGTATTGCTGGTCTTTCAGATAACTCTAAGCTGTTTACTTGATTTGTACCGAGTCATCGTGCGAATTGGTGGATTTCGAATCGGCTTTGCAATCTACTTCGGTAAAACCGATCTCACGGCAACATAGCCGATCCGTTTGAACGGATATTGAACATTGAGTCAGTTTTTTCACCTCTTGGCCAGTGGCAGTTGTAGTTTCGATAACTTCGCTGACGCTTTTCAACGAGGGCAAAGACGGCCGTTTAGCTTTAACACGAGTCTGTTTTTCCTTGGCGCTATCCAAACTATGCCGTCTGTTGACAGGCGAAAATGGCTTTTTATACCTTCTATCTTCGGTTTGACAACTTGTAGAACGGGTTAACGATGACTTCTTGAACGCGTCCAACACCGATTGTGGATCATCGCAAAGAACTTTGTTTATTAAATCCCAAATTTCAATTCTAAAAAAAATGTATACTTTATTAAAAAAAATACACGGTAATTATCAGTTACAAGGCATTTACAGTTAAATAATAATTACAAATTATCAGGTCGAATATCAGAAATTAACATTTAGAGCGCATTATGGACATCAAACGGATGGAAAAAAAATCTAGGTCCAATTGGCATGTCTAGTCAGTAGCTGTACGGTTTACTGGGACATTCCTGTCCAAACGCACAATACAAAAATAAAGCGACGTGGTAGACAAATCATTTTCTGAATACATTCAATCGTTTTCAAGTCGAACAAGCATCTACTGATACGGTGAGAACATTTTGAACATCACACATCTTTGTGGACGATTCTCACTTACGCCAAAAATCTAAATTTTCGAGTAAAAAGATGAAATACGGGAATTCATTTTTTATGGCCTCAATATTGGACAACCTCGAGAGATAATATTCAATTGTTAAACTCCAGTTTTTAAACTCGGTCGTTGCTCTATAAATGTTGATGCATTACAATTCATTGTTCCGAGATAATAAAAATCTAAAGACTTATTTCAAATTGTTCGTGGTAACAATTTCGAATAAACATGCTGTTCTAACGGTATTGAAGACACCTGATGGTACTATGTGATGTCAAAAGCCCACTGGCAAAAATAATTTGGAATGCCGACGTGTAGTTCAAATTGTCTACCTCCCGCTAAGTAAATACAAGATCAAACAGAGTGCGGTTGACGAAAATATGACATATTTATGTCCGACGAAAACATTTAATGTAATAATATTATGACGAGTATTCAGAGAGGCGAAAATTGTCTGCAAAGTATTTCAAGAAGACTCACTGAGCCATTGCAGTTTGACAACGTTCAGGAGTTTCAATGAGAAAAAGTAAGAGTAATAGATATGATTTTTCGATAAACTTACGTGGCCATGGTGTCGGTGTAATCCATTTCTGTCATTTGCATTAGCATGTTTAGTAAATACGATCCGTAAATAGTGTTCGATATCTGTAATGCGATTATACGCTTTTATAATTTATCTAATAATGTCAAACTATAAGGAACAAGCTGCAAGCTAAACATAATATTATCGAGATAGGCGAACGTTCACTGACCTTGGACAGCAGAGCATCGAGGAGTTGATGGTGAGACTGCGGAGGCGCCATTTCTTCGTCGATCAGCCGATGTTCTTCAAAAGCTGCAATTTGTATTTGCAGGGCTTCGTCTTCGTAGCCAGACATGCTATCTATTGCCGACCTCAATCCCAGAGCTGAAAGACAACGAAACAATGGTTGAACTCCAATAAATCCTTTTTAAAAACCACCTTATCTCTCTGTTAAAACATTTTTAACCCACGACGTGATGTGCTTATAGCTGAATCACTTACCCATGAGTTCGTTTCTGACGCGCATCCTTCGCCTCAACGACTTCTCGACAAGTATCAAACAGTTGGCCAAAGCCAACAGGGTCGTCTGATAGGCAAATGTGTCAGCTTGTTGCAGCTCCAACACCACGATTTCGTAGTCGTGCCGCAAGTTTTGCTTTACCTGCGAGTCATTCGCGTAATTACCGTTTTTAAACCGTGATAATATTAGTGTTCACTCTATACCTTAATGTGCGAAAGGGTAGTTTTAACGAAATCGATGCCTTCGGTGGAGAACATGGATAAAGCGCACAACAGTTCATACACCTGTAGTTTCACCGTAGTATTACTGCACGCCAACACTGCTGAAATCACATTATCAATTTGTTATTACCATTGCCACTCATACCACTGGTTTTGTTTAGTATTTAGAAAATGTTTCTGTGGCGATACTAGCTTAATCTATTTAGTTCAGATAAACCAAATGCAATTTTTCGACGCTACAGATTAAATGAGTTTTTAATCGTCGACGGTGCTCTTCCTCGTTGAATTCAATACCGTCGGAACGTGTATAATATAATTTTTGTTTTTTGACCAAGGAGCGTGACCGAGATTTAGTTCTAAGATATGAAGAGGACATTGTAGGATTGTATTGTAGGGAAAATTACATCGTTTTACAGTAAATACAAAAAAAAAACAATTGTACTTAAGACTATTTTGGGAGGGTTGCAAGTGTTAAGCTACAATAAGGCAAATTAGAAGAGAATTTGCTCAGATTTGGTCGACAGTATTAGAATAACAAGTAACGTGTAATATTGGCTGAATGGACAAGGCTCGAAAATAAGTTCCTCCGGTCAATAGTTATTCCAAAATCAATTGCAACGTCATACACGAGTAATAATAATAGTAATTGGGTTATTTGTGACGATTCATAAGATTTAGGCCGCGAATAACAAACCTGTTGCCAAGTACGAACAGTATTCCAGATGTTCGGAAATGTGATGCAATCCGGTTTGGGACCTCACGACAGCCCTGACACAGCCGACACATTGCAGCTGAGATATGGTATCCATCAACGTTTTCCCGCTCATATTGCCCAAGTTGCTCAGCAACGTGACCAGTCCGTCTCTTTCGAGGAACTCCAGAATCCATGATCTTTAAAAGAAAAAAAACAACAACATAAATAGATTGTTTTAAATTAAGAACATGCATTGTATGTCTTAGTATGATGGGTTTATTTTGTAGTCTGCCATTTGGAAAACAAAAATATTTTACAATGTACAACACATAAGGAAACAAACGCGGTGTGTGCTGCTTTAAGTTTTTCAAATCGACAACGGCTATTCAACTCGGGGAGTAAACAATCCTAGATGGTATGTCACCGGCATACTCGCCGTAAGAACATAATATTTTGTTTAGGACTACATAATAAATTCTTATACACCGTCCACATTAGCAGAGTGGCGGCGGGAAACGTACCATCTTTATCTCTGTTATTTCCTTATTTACACAATGTAACATGCTACGTTTTGACAAAATACATATTTTGTTTATAATATAACATTATAAATAATCCGAAACGAGAAGAAGCTGCTACAAGAAGATACTAACTATAAAACACTCACGCTGTGTTTACGATATTTCATCATTTTTAGGAACTGCGCCAGTACGAACAGAAGTTTTAAAACCTTAAAAGAGCTACCATTTTAATGACGCCCATGTATAATGTTGGCCGGTCGATTACTGTACTAATAAAAAATGCACTCCGACGATGTTGTGAAACGTTTTCCTCTCGTTTGAGGCTAATAAAAAAAAAACAAACGCGTCCCATGCGACTGTCTTACTTGCAACGGTGTTTTTTTTTTGTTGACCTTGCGCATTCAAATGAACTACATAAGTACCTACCACCGGCCCACTGCTAAAACACAGTATTATAATATTCTCTTCTAGATTTCTATCTAAAATCGACCATTCATGGCATTATAATGCACGGTGTTATTTCATAATAATAATAACAATATAATATTTTAACGCCGATGATTATCTCGCAACAAAAGGTGTATTAAACGAATGAGCGGTTACCAAATAATAATAATAATATATAAACATTTTATCTCGGTATTATTTAATTTTTTTTTATGAATAATACAAGAATTGTTGTAACGACTACATGAAAACATGAAAAATCGAAGCCCGTCAGCGAATTCGGTAAAAACCGAGTAGACAAAATAATGTCCTGGAAAAAAAAATCGCAGCACATAAAACGCGTTTCTCGGGAAGACCTAATGGGCGTTGGCGGGTACAATTACTGGTTTACCGCATTTACCAAATGACCAAACGACACAATATGAACTATTTTGTTTTTTTGCAACACAACAATTATTATTATTATACTGTTGGCGATTACGTCCAACTTCCAAGGACGGTCGAGCTCGCGAATAATATTATGTCAGTCTGATTGTCATATAGCGCCGAAGAAGAGCAGCGACAGCTTTATTCTGTGCACGCAATCATAATATTGTATACATTATTATAATCGCTGACCACTCCAACACACCCCGTCGCCCTACCTAGTCGTAATAGTGTTACTATTATTGTACAAAATAATTACGGTTGCACAATGTTTATCCAGCGTGCACCAAGTGACATCGTTAACATACAGTATTCTCGGTGGCCGACCGTGAGGAATGTCTCCCGGGGGAGAGACGAGGGCTAGGGGGGAAATGGTTTTTGGAATGGACTCAAAAATCATAACACAGGAAGGCGCGAAACCGTTTAGCCCCTCAAAAACTATATTATGATAATATTTATGATTGTTGTCAACGAAGCGGAATGGTCGTCGAGGTGTAAATTCCGTCGGCCCAACTACCGGGCCAGGTCTTAAAAATGTAGAAACTAATTATTAAAGTCTCTTGTGAATTAACTGCTGCCGTCGGAGATACACACGCCCGGACGGACAAGATGATAGCATTGCCGGCCGGGCGAAGTAATGATAATAAATTTCGTCAAGTGCACGCACATATTATTATTATAATAGTTTTGTTTATTTCGGACGAGCCTCTCAAGTCGTAAACCCTATGGGTGTACACACGTGGCTAATAGGCATAGTTCCAATTACACAATAATGCACGTATAAGAAATAATAATTATTATACACGCGTGCGATTCCAAAATCTCCAGAGTGGCACTTCTCGTTTAGTCGAATCTATACGACGCCGTATAACGTCGTACACATGACATTAATTTATATAATATGTAGGAGCCGAGGAGCAGTTTGTGCGGTTCACAAAAACTACTATGCACATACCGACCGACTGCGGGGTATGGACCGATAACAGATTTACACATTCCGAGCTGGGTCTAACGTTCACGTGCGTATTACCACACCACAGGTCTTCCAACCGGCGAAAAAGTCCACACGAGTCAGTGTTATGAAAATATGATTTGTGTACAATGGTCCAAGACCCTTTTGATTGTGTTTCAATTAATTATTGTTAATTGAATTTTATCTATTTTATTGTATTGCCAACGAAAACGCGTTACGGCTGTCACTCGTCATTTACGGTCCCGCACTTTATCAATTATTTAATATTACTGTTGTTGTTAATTTGTACTTAAAACTCGAATTCCGACAGCACGACGGTCGAGATCAGCCGACCGTTTAATAGATCCGAAAAATAATGTCTTTCGTTGTCAAGACCGCAAGACGATCCCCATCGGTCTTTCTACCGCATTAATATGTGATAGGACCGATTAGGAAACTTCTAATTAACAATTGAATAATATATCAAAATTTGTTTTTTGCGACAAGAGGTCGCTTTTCCTTTTTCGCCTCACATGTATAGAAGGCTATAATATTGCTGTACTTGGTTAACTCAATTTTCTAAAAAAAAATGCACTTATCACGTCAGTGTGAGTTATATCATTGAAAAAAGTTTAAAAACGTATAGTCAATTTTTTTTATATTATACAATACTTAACCAGGTCGTGCTAGTTGTATAAGCCTTATTGATTATACTCTATGGCATAGGTCAAGCATTTCCTCTTATTCAAACACGTCATATATGCAAATTAAATTAGGTAACTTTTTCTACATTTAAGAAGCATATTATAAAATTTAATTTAATTTTCACCTGGTTAAGAAAACTTTTAAAAGATATCTTTAACACAAAGTAGTTTACCTCGATACTGGTACCGATTTTAGAGACAATTAAGTTTATCTTTTTTTAATTTTTTTTTTCAGAGCTATATATCAACTTTCAAAACTTAACATATACAAAAATTAAATTTTAAATTAAGAATGATTTGTTGAAAATTAGGACTGGTCGATTGGAGAGTTAACTATTTAGGACGGAATGAAGGCTAAAATGTAGTATTACTAGTATTTGTACCCATTACTCTACAGCACCCCACTCAATAAAAGTCAAATAACTTAAACTTGATCCCTTACTTTAAATTAAACTACATTCTTAACGAAAATAATTCGACAAATATTTAGGTATGCCTTTAAATTAAAAATGGACAAAACATTTTGGTATAATACTGTCATGCCCGCCCCTCTTTGGCAACGTGCGAATATGTGTACCCGCGTGTAGTCGTCACCCTCGTCTCGATTACCTATATACCAAAATATCATTATAACTACATATGCGAGGAGACGGGAATGGTCAAAGTGAAAATGTGAGTATAATAGAAACGTACCGAATTCCTATGTCTCGAGCCAAACGTTAAATCAAACTCGGACATGACGTTGGAGAACTTAGTAGGTGTAAAATATGTGCGCATACATATCATTACAATAATACAGTATGTACAATATGTCCTCCGGGAAACGGTCGACCCGGTGATCGGACGGTACTTAATCACATCGGACCATCGCATCGGTCATTCGAGACCAGTTTTTATTTTGTCTTTCTTTTCTCATAATAATTTATTATCATTATTGCCGACACGCGAATACGTGTGAAATGCAATGTGCAAACTACAATATCGTATGTATGTACATACAGTTATTATGGTGTGCAATGCACATAACACTGTGCATGTTATGTGCTAGTAAAAGGTGTATGTGTGTGCATGTGCGTTTATAAATATTCGCGGCGGTTCACGTGTAATGGGGGGGTTGGTTATAAATGCGCCAACAGCACTTATACTTAATAACGTCGTACGACGGCCTGCAATGAGGGACCCGGCGCGTACTCTGGCGCTGGCCGTACAGGAATTCCGGGACAAGTAGTCTTGAATGTAAAAATTATGGAACAAAATTAGAAACGTCGCCAGCAGCACGTTACCATACTATAACTGACCGAATATTTTGGCTTGTTAGGACTTATTTAAAAATAGTGCGCGCGCTCCAGTCTCCACAGGCCGCCGCCACAGCCGCCGCCGACAACACCCCATTCTTCACCTGGTAGTTGTTATTGCAGTACACCCGTAAACGCATAAATCAGAAATAACCGCGTTCGTCAACGCCTCGTGTAAAGCCAATTAATATAACACTCGGAGTAAGGGGCATGTCCTGTATAAGTATATATTTATTATATATGGTTTGCTTGAAAAGGGGTGTATCGCCCGTGAAAACAGTTATTCTTGGAATTCGTTTAGAAATTTAAACGGGGTTGGCAGCAGGCGCGGATCTATGACTTTTTTATGGTGGGTGCTAATAATTTTCCATTAAGTACTTGTAATGCAGAGCAAGAAAACATTTAATATTTTTTAATTGATAGTAGTCTTATTAAGAGTTCCTATTTAATGCTAAATGTTTTTTTCTACTTATTAAAAGTAAAAAAAACATATCTCTTTCAATCCCCTAAACGTATCTCACTACATTAAATAAAACACAATCATTTTTGTTTTTTTTTTCTATAATATCAATTGAATTTTTACCATCTACCCACTTGGTCTTAATAATACAAATATTATCATCGACTTGCCCGACCTCCCTAAGGAGAACTCGTTTCGTAACTCTACAGATACATAAAAACAATCGAACGACTAACTAAATAATAAAATAACAATTATTAATTAATAACGATAAAAAAGCGCACATATTCATAAATATTATATTGTCTATAATCTATACTATCTACTGGATCTGGTTAAATAAAAGAAAACCCATTCAATTGTTTGGCGAGTGTGATCGCGCGTTTTTCTGC